ATATTAGAATTGTAATATAATTTTGACAATTTTCAAAAAATGTTCAATGTCCTAGGCTTCTAAGATTCAATGATATCCATGGTCATTTCCATGAAAAAATCGATTTTAGCATTGTACATTTTCGGAGACTAGTATTTGGAGACGAGTAAAGGTTTTAAGTTCTGTAGTATACATATGTATGAATAACTGCGAAGCATTGCGAGTGGAACCATTGGTCGAACCAATGCCAACACGATTGGAGCTCTGATCTATGCATAAATACATAGTACATACATATGTGAATTAATGCCGAATTTGGCTTGATAATTTTGAGAAATGAATAACGGTTTGAGTTTTAGAACAAAGCTTTCCGTGCAAAGGTAACCCACAAAATAAACAGAGAACGAATGCTAAGAGGGATACAAATTACAATAAATAGCAACGCGAAAAAAGAGAACGCCACAATCAGAAGGTGGTACATACTTTTTATTTGATGTACCATGGCAGCGCGCACAGCCACGAAAGAGAGCACGAGAGAGTGTCAGAGAGAGCAACCAGTGCTGAGGGCAGAGCGCAGTGCAGTGCAAAGTTGCTTGATTCCCCACGCGCTTACCTTACCCTTCGCACCCACCAAATGTACAAAAGCAAAATCATAATAACAAAGCGAGCGCCAAAAGCCAAAGCGATAGCAGCAGAAACAACAAATTAGACGGAAAAAAGCGCACAAGCAGAAGCAGCGAAGCAAAAGGCAGCAGCAAAACCAACAACATGATTCTGCCAAAGCTAAGAAAAGCTATAATCAAGGACAGCGACAGCTAGCAGTAGCGTAGCAGCAGCAGCAGCTGTAAACCAAACACACAGGCACGCACACACACATAAGCATTCATATGGATGAGAGAACCAAAATGCAGCAAAGGCAAAAACCAAAAGCAAATGCAAATGAAACAAGCTAGAGAAAAGAAATAAGGAAATAATTATTTACGAACATTACGAAGACTTCATGCCCTTTCGCATGGTCAAAATAATGACAGTCTCATATTCACAGTAATACAAACAGAGCTCTGCTCTCCAGGCATCCACATGAGCATATGCACCACGAACCCATTGAGGTATGTACACCCACGTCCCTTCATTAGGGGTAATTGATTTGATGAAAAAAGCTAACGAGGTCACATGCTGGGACAACTAGGATTCCATTCCTGCGAAAATCGTTTCCCAATGGATGAGCGTTCGTATGTATGTTCGAGCATGTTAGACACAACCACCCACAACTACCACAGTCAGCGTAAACGCAGGACACAAAAGAGTGCGGTCGTTGACTGCGTATATGCATGTGTATATATTCAAGTTTTTTGCTTAGTTGGTGGTGTGGTATGGGAGCTGATGATGTGTGGAGAGTGGGGCATTGCTGTTTGATAAGGGGTTTTCGCTTATGGAGGGGAAATACACACACACATACACGCATATATGGGCTAAGGCCAAACGGCAGTTGAGAACGGTGTGAAAGAAACACGACACATGATCATATACATACATATTTATTTATGCATGTGTCGTATTGCTGATAAGATTTAAAACGCAAAAGCAAATGCAAAACGAAAAACAAAAAGAAATCGGTAAGCACAACGCAATAAACGGGGCCAAAACCAAAGTGCGTAGTATATGGTAATGGTAGGGGAGTTAGAGCTCTAACAAATAGTGGAGGGACAATGGCAACAACACAAAGTAAATTCAATTTGAGTGGAGGATACTGCTTTTTAATGTTATTAGACATGAAATACACATTCACATGTCCATAGAAACAATAGAGAATTGAAAAACTGAAATATATAACTTTGCACTTTTTTTGGAAAAAGAAAAAAAAACAAACGAAAACATTCACAGCTGAGTGGCGGCGGCGACCCATCACTATCGCACACTTCCTTAGCATTGATACACCGACCCAAGGGAATTGTACACACTCACAGACACACAATACAGGGGGACAAGAATTATTTTTGTTTAATAATACAGTTAAATAGTTTCATTTAAGTACTGTATTTACATATATTCCATTATGCAAATACACACACACAGGCTGCACACATCTCGTAATACCTTTTATTTTGATTTCTCTGTTATATATTTTTGTTTGCTGTTGCTGCTACTTTTTCTATTGAGGTGCAGGCGTGGGTCTTGATGGCTGGGGCTGCCGCATTTGGTTTTTTACGCATCGATACTTCTCCACATTGTTAAATGCACTGGCCGCGATCTCTGCATTTTTCCACGTCTTTCCCCTTTGTCCGCGCAGTCACGACGATTGTTGGGGTCTTTGTTATTTTTGATTGCTCAACATTTAAAAATGTACTGCGTCGCTATCGGTGCCATACCTATTTGGGGGCGGCTGCCCTGTATCGATATTGTACTCGTACCTTCAGGGGTGATTTAAGCGGCCAGTCCTATCGATAGGTGTTGCATTCGACTAGAGCCAATATTGTCGCGCCAAAATACATATATCGTGTTTGTTAAAATAATATAAAAAAAGAATCTAACTTTGCACCATCTTTGCACGGAGTAATATGACATTGACCCCCTACGCGAACGACACTTCCTTCCCAGCAACCAGATCCTCCAGGAGGACTTCATCCTGTCTCATGACAGCTGATTGCTCTCACCTGGCAGTGGCTCTAGGGATGAAGTCTAACTAGTATGATTTATTTATTTATAGCCAACACACTAATATGTGCACCTGCAATAAGTGATCGCACAAATACATCGATATAGATATTTTTCCAGCCGCCAAAAAATATATCATCCATATATCGATATAAACAACATAGGAGCATCACATATGCATCTCTAATTTGTTAATATTTCTCGCTCGGAACGGTTGTGGTTTTCGCGGGTTTGGCCATTTTTTGTTGTAGTTTTTTTTTGGTTACGGGCTAAGCGGCATCGCTACCTGTCCATTAGCCGATTTTTCTGACGAGTGCGTGTGTGTGTATGTGTGAGAGTTCTGGCTACATACACCTTACTTTTTATGGCCGAATGTTAATCTTATCGCAAATCAAACTGCGAGCATGAGTCCGCAGCAGAAATTGTAATAGAATTTAAGTCTTACATTCGAACGGCCCAATTGGAACTTTACTTCTTCTGGTCCTGCTGATCCTCACAAAAGCTCATCGATCGACCACAACGCATTGAGAGATCCGCCTACACCACCATGCCTGTAAAGACAGTGGTCCGCCAGCAAAGCCAGACGCCCGCCCAGCAACTGCAGCAGCAGCGGCAGCGGGATGTGGAGAACGGCCTTTATCCAAATATACCACCCGAGCGGAGATCGCCGCCCTCACGGCCCCAAACCCTGCGCCAGGACACCATCGACATGGAGGAGATACCCCTCAATCAGACAATATCGCAAGAGCCAGAGGATCGGCGCAAGATGAGGGAAGTATTTGACAAGGTAAGCATCACAGATCACAGCACAGGAAATAGGGGAGCTGTTTCTGGGGAATTTCGTAAAATTACTCAAACCATGGGATTTTTTTTGCACTTGAGCCGGCAAAACGATTCTCCGTCTTCCCCCTTACCGCCTCGTTCGTGTGTGTGTGTGTGACTGAAAATTTTTCTGGTTTTTTTGTTTTTGTTGTTGCCGGCGTTGCCATTGGTGAAAGTTGGTGAATTAATGAATGAATCATCATCCATGGCATTGCATGTGGACGGACACCCTTTCCCCACTCTCAGCTGAGGGCGGCTCTTCCTTTCCTGGCTGCCACTCAACTTCGCACCTTGCGTATTTACCGCAAACATGTATGTGTACATAGCCGTTTTTTGATTTCCCCCTTTTCTTTAATACCCTATACTACAAGTTGGTATATAAATTATTAGTAGTTGCTATGGGAAACGGTTTCCGTTTATAGTTCCTTCTCCGATATTTTGAATTGCCTTTTAATGTTTGGATACTCGTACATATGTATATTGCACAGCCCTTTGAACGATCGGTCGAAACTACTGCCATAGGAACGATCGACGCGGAAGGGTATAACAAGCTTCTGCACTTTTTTATTTGTTGCATTCTGTTTTCTTAGCATTTGGTTGGGTGGGGCAGAGAAGGGGGAAGAGGGGTTGTCTTATCGCTGACAGCTGTTGGTGGAGGGAGGGGCAGGGAGCAGCGAAAGAACCGGTTATAAATTATTCTTTGCTTTGTGTATCGTTCTATCTTTCGGTGGTGGTGGATTGTTGTTGCTGTTACTGTGCCTGTTCTGATGTTAGGGGAGGCATTGATATGGCGTTAGTCACCTTGACCTCCCTCTCTCAATGCCAACTCCTCGCACCTGTTTGCATGTTCTTGTTGCTCGGTGTTTTATTATCACTTCCACAAAACGGATGTGCAGAGTCCCGACCATAGTTAGGTATTTGTGCTATAAAGGCTCCATGTTATGCATACCCTGGTTGATTGGCAATACTGTATAAATTTCTCAAAAAACTGCAGTGCTATCCTTGATAGAGTTTTAGATAATTATAGGTCGATAATAAAACGAGTCAATGCTGAAAAAAAGAAAACTGAACGGCAAATTGACAGTCACGCGTGAACGTGTAATGAAAGATCTCAGGGGAATGGTGCTTCTGTTGCTAACGGAACTCTAGCCAAGAATTTTGTTAGAATCAACAAAAACAAAATAGCTGCGGGTCAGTTGCAGAGGGTTCGGGGGTCCGAAGATAGTTTTGGTGTGTGTGCTTTTTCGATCCAAAGAAAGTTGTCTTCTCTTTGAATGTTATTCCGCTTCGTTCTGTTCGGATGGCAGAAATTAGCATTAGCAAACTCCTCCAGTCCGATGCGATATCCATCCGTCCAAATCAGACTGGAAAGAAAGCGAAAAGCATTTCGATTGGCATTCCAGCGAGCGTTTCAGCGTTCTGCCACTCCCCTCCCTCTCGCAATCTAATCGACTCGACTCTCTTCCAGCAAACATTCAGGTGGCAGAGAAGCAAAAACAAAAAACCCAGCAGAAGCAGAAGAAGAAGAAGAAGCGTGGCATTCCTTAAGCTTTCATTCAATAACGCAATCTATTCATGATATAACTAGACATACACTAGTCTTTAGTATATATATGCATCTATGCATATGTGTATGTATGTTGTGTACTGTGTACTGGAACAAAACAATTGTCCTCCACTGTCTGGCCCAGAATGGCTAAGAGTGTGTGTGCGTGACTAAACACCATTCACTCTCTTTCTGGACTAGCCGACTTGACTTCGTGGACTACCATGTGGGAAATACCAGGAAACGCTGCCTGCTTGTGCTCCATCTCGGGGGAAGTTTCCTGCTACCCATCTACGAATTCCCACTCTATCTATTTTAATGGATTTCCAGCAGTTGGCTGGCTTTCAATTCTGATTTTGATTAGCCTCGTTTTGGTTGCAGCATTCCAATGTGACTTGGTCCTGGAACCGGAGACCAGACCGGACCGGACCGTATATGGCCACAATATGTTGCAGTCGACACAGACGACCAGCACCAAATGCGGTGCGGTTGTGTCAGAGTGGGTTACCACATCAATGTTGCATGAGGCATGATGCAGTGCGCTTTTTATATTGTTGTTCATTTATGGTGCCGCTTATACTTTGAATTTGGATTTAAGATTTTGTATGCCGCTTATTCTTTGAATTTGGATTTTAAATTTTGTATGAGACCCGATGACCCAGGCGATGCTCTGGCGATGGCTATGGCTTTGACCTCTATTTATCGTCCGACAGGATGTCAAAGAAGCAGTCGCCCTGCTGCTGATCATCCTCCTTCTCGTTCTCCTTCTCCTTCTCCTTCTCCTCCTCCTCCTGGCCAAAGGGATCATGCCAGACATCTGGCGTCGACGCGTCCTTCTCTGTTGCCTTCCCCTGACGCTTGCGGGGACTGACAGAGTGACGACGCCTGCGTGGAGCGATGGAGTGATGTCGTCCCGAACGCCCTCTTTGACGGCTCTTCTTGTGGAGGCGTGACTGGTGCTCCATGTGTTGGTCGGTGAGGCTGTTGATGCAGAAGAAGACCACTGCTATTCCCAGGTACAAAAGGCAGAAGGTCCCAAAGCCGGATGACTCCTGCTGGGGGGTCGCCTCCTCGTCGCTGTCATTGCTGTCGCAGGACCAGCCAGAGAACAAACTGCTCAAATGTTTGGTTGTTATCTGTTCAAGCGGCGACATTTTGAAGTCAGTCGGACGGGAAATTTTGGTAAGACTTGGGGGATAGTTGGGATCGTGTCGGGTCGGGTCTCCGAACTTTTTGAATTTGTGTTAGGGAATGATTGATATACGATTGGTTGCTTTGATCGGATTGGATGCCACGAAACTAATCGGTTCTTTCCAACTTTTTTCTGTTTACCAGCACGACTCCGACCGCGATGGCCTGATCAGCACACACGAGCTGAAGGAGCTCATTTCGGACGGCTACTGCCGGGATATACCCGCCTATATAGCCGAACAGATACTGCGCCGCAGCGATGTGGACAACAATGGGCATCTGGACTTTGAGGAGTTTTACACGATGTCGCTGCACCACAAGTGGATGGTGCGCAATATCCTGGCCAGATACTGCCGGTATGTGGTGCCGCCGCCCAAGCCACTGGAGGGCGATGAGCCCGACGGTGCCTACGAGAAGCAAATGTCTATCTGCCCGCCGCCCCTCACCATGGTCATCTTCTCGATCATTGAGATCATCATGTTTCTGGTGGATGTTATCCATTTTCAGTGAGTATGCAGCCACCATTGCCATGCCACCGGTTGAATTGTTCACCTGATTACCTGTTAACCTGCCTCTTTCCACACAGGGACGATCCCAACCACAACGATCGACTGGGCGAGAGCACAAGCGGTCCGGCAGCGACGCTCTTTATCTACAATCCGTACAAGCGGTACGAGGCATGGCGCTTCGTTAGCTACATGTTCGTCCACGTGGGCATCATGCACCTGATGATGAACCTGATCATTCAGATATTTCTGGGCATTGCCTTGGAGCTGGTACATCACTGGTGGCGCGTGGCGCTGGTGTATCTGGCCGGCGTCCTGGCCGGGTCTATGGGCACATCGCTGACGAGTCCGCGCATCTTTCTGGCCGGCGCCTCCGGCGGTGTCTACGCTTTGATCACGGCGCATATCGCAACCATCATAATGGTGAGTGTTTCTGACATTCGATCCGATTTTGATCCGATAACCATACGGATATGCTTTGTCTTGCAGAACTACTCGGAGATGGAATACGCGATAGTCCAACTGCTGGCCTTCCTCGTCTTTTGCTTCACCGATCTGGGTACCTCTGTGTACCGCCACCTCACCGATCAGCACGACCAGATCGGCTATGTGGCGCATTTGTCTGGGGCCGTGGCCGGACTGCTGGTGGGTATCGGGGTGTTGCGCAATCTTGAGGTGAGGCGCTGGGAGCGCATCCTCTGGTGGGTGGCCGTCATTTTCTACTTTGCGCTCATGACCACCGGCATCATCATTCACATCTTTGTGCCCGATTACTTCCCCAAGCAGGAGTACAACTGAGAAATGCCCGTGCGCCGTCTCGACCACACAAATATGTATGTAGCTTTAAGTCGTCGCCCCCTTAGCCCTAGACCTAAGATGACCCCCTGTCCACCAAAGTGCTCTTGATGTGGATGGTTGAAGCGGAGGCGCTGCGCTGTGCAGCTGCAGCTGCAGTACGCACAATGCTTTAGCCTTGCCTGACAGCTAGCCGCCAGCCGACACCGCCTGGACGTGTCGAGCCTGTGTGTGCTATATAATTTATTTTCGTACGACTATTTTTTGATGCCCTTTTGCTGAGAGTCGTCCCGATCCTCTCAGAGACAACCGTCCACACAGATGGAGTCTGTACGCACAGATGTATCCACGAGCATGTGTGCATATTTATACGTATTTTATATATATTCTCGATCGTCATGATCGTCAACGAAGCAACGATTTGAATGCACCCCATAGACGGGGATGCGTGTATTCCCGTATTCACGACAGAGAACAAAACTCACTTGCATTTTAATTGTACAATTTGCCTATCTTTTATAACTATTTTACCGAACAATAAAAAAGTATCTTGCTCGAAAGATACACATCCATAAGTATTTACTTATTTCATGCCATCTCCCAGCATAAACTTATTTTTATTGAATTTAGAACTTATGTAGAAAGTTATTTACTTAAATCTAAAACATATCCATTAACCATTAACCTTTTTATTAAATTTTGTATAAAAGATATCATTATTTATTACTATTTATTAGGCAGGGAAACGTTGAGTATTCCCACTAACATTCTGCAGTCCTTCCGAGGTAGTACTTTTTTCCATACATGGGAGGCAGGTTCTCAGTTCTTCCGTTCGCCAGCAAGACGCCTTCCTTAGCCAGAACGACCGCTGATTAATATAATAATATTTCTTACCTTGGTAGTGGTCCTTATATAGATCCTATGTGTTTGTTTGCTGCTGTAAGTCTTTTTCGATTTCAGTATCCATCTAGTCCCCTTATTTGAAAACAGAAATACTTTATTCTACTTTACCATATCGTTTGATGTAATTCAATTTTCAAATTCAGAGGTAATCGAACACTCACAAAGAAATATACAACCCGTCAAATCAACTCAAAGATCAAAAAATATAAAAACGATGTTAAAGAATCGTTTCACGGGTCTTATGACGCGGAAGAGCACGGCCACGGCCACGGCCCATGCGAGAAACTACATCTTTCAGAAGAGTTTCAATGCACGCCAAGTGCTGATGGCCAAGGCTAAGGCGAATGGGGCACCAGAGACAGAGACCTTGGGGGACCAGACCCCGAATCAAACGCAGCCGAAGAGTGCTTGTCCGGAAGTGAAGACAACAGGAACAACTGCTGTGCCCTTGGCCGAGAATACACGCAAGACAGGTGAGACTTTCGTGTACGTTTTTTCTGCTCAGAATGGCAATGGTATATCCTGCTTCTCTTGCAGTTTCCCTCAAGACATTTACAACCGCCCCATCGGCCAGCTTTTCCGATCGGCGCGAAAGGTGGATGGCCAGGACCAAGGAGATTCAGCGCAAGGCCATGCTGGCAGCCAAAGAAGGTCCTACCAAGGCAGCAAGCAACAAATGGTCGACTCCCGGGCTATACGACTGGCAGCAGCAGCTGTCGCCGCAAAAGAAGCCAAATGTCGATAATGAGATCATCTCCCCAGCGGAAGGCCAACGGAAGTCTTGGACGAATCGCGTGCACGGCTCACAAATGCAGAAGCAGAAACAGACACGGTTCCTTGAGGAACCGAGTGGCAGGCAGCACGCCAGAAGAGATATGGAACAGAAGGGACATAGGATACAGCAGATAACCAGAATGGAGTCCAGAGCTTCGGCAGCAGCAGCCCCTGCAGAGCTAATCGAACACTCACAAAGAAATATACAACCCGTCAAATCAACTCAAAGATCAACAAATATAAAAACGATGTTAAAGAATCGTTTCACGGGTCTTATGACGCGGAAGAGCACGGCCACGGCCACGGCCCATGCGAGAAACTACATCTTTCAGAAGAGTTTTAATGCACGCCAAGTGCTGATGGCCAAGGCTAAGGCGAATGGGGCACCACAGACAGAGACCTTGGAGCACCAGACCCCGAATCAAACGCAGCCGGAGAGTGCTTGTTCGGAAGTGAAGACAACAGGAACAACTGCTGTGCCCTTGGCCGAGAATACACGCAAGACAGGTGAGACTTTCGTGTACGTTTTTTCTGCTCAGAATGGCAATGGTATATCCGGCTTCTCTTGCAGTTTCCCTCAAGACATTTACAACCGCCCCATCGGCCAGCTTTTCCGATCGGCGCGAAAGGATGATGGCCAGGACCAAGGAGATTCAGCGCAAGGCCATGCTGGCAGCCAAAGAAGGTCCTACCAAGGCAGCAAGCAACAAATGGTCGACTCCCGGGCTATACGACTGGCAGCAGCAGCTGTCGCCGCAAAAGAAGCCAAATGTCGATAATGAGATCATCTCCCCAGCGGAAGGCCAACGGAAGTCTTGGACGAATCGCGTGCACGGCTCACAAATGCAGAAGCAGAAACAGACACGGTTCCTTGAGGAACCGAGTGGCAGGCAGCACGCCAGAAGAGATATGGAACAGAAGGGACATAGGATACAGCAGATAACCAGAATGGAGTCCAGAGCTTCGGCAGCAGCAGCCCCTGCAGAGCTCGAGGAACCGAAGAAGAAGTCGCCCGAGCGTTTGGCTTACCTGGAGGCCATCCAAAAGCTGAACAGTTACCACGCTTTCGACTCGGTGCCCGTGCGGATGGGCCGGCAGGGCTCCGATTGCCAGCCGGATCCGATACTAGAACATACCCTGGAGTGCTTGGAGAGGACGAAGCTGTCAAAAGCGCAGTTGGAAAGCATTCCCGTCATACAGATATCCGGATCGAAGGGCAGAGGAACCACATGTGGCCTCGTTCAGAACATCCTGCTCTCGCATGGTATCAAGACAGGGCTACTCTGCTCGCCCCATCTCTTCTTTTCCTGCGAGCGAATACGCATCGATGGGCAGCCCTTGAGTGAGGTTCAGTTCACGAAGCTCTTCTGGAAGATTCATGCCAGGCTGGCAAAAATGCAACCACCGCCAGCCTACGACCAACTCCTGACGGTGATGGCCTTCCATGCGTTCCGCCGGGCGATTGTGGATGTGGCCATTGTGAAGGTGGGCAGTGGAGGCGCCAGCGATTGCACCAACGTCACCTCGCATGCGGGAACAATCGGCATCAACACTCTGAGCCGGGATAAAAGGTCGGATCTGAGGCATACCATGCGGGACATTGCCTGGGCCAAGGCGGCAATCATGAAGCCCTCTGCCAGCATATACACGAATGTCAGCCAAGCAGAGTGCTGTGAGGCCCTAGCCCAGAGGGCCAGGGAGCTTGGCGTCCAGCTCCATCGAGTGCCCACATTCGAAGCCCTGATCGAGGCAAACCTCAACCAAAAGCACCTGCTCTCCAAGGCAAACCATTCCGTGAAGTTGAATGGCTCATTGGCCATCCAGCTGGCGTGCGACTATCTCAGGCGCCACAAGCCGGAGCTTGTGGTGGGATTGGACACAAATACAGTTAAATTGTCTCAACGTGCGGCCCGCGGGATTGGCAGCTTCCAGCCGGCGGGACATTTCGATGTGATCAGACAGGACAGCCTTAATGTCTATTTGGACACGGCTGATTCTGTCGAATCGATGATGGCATGTAGGGAGTGGTTCTATGCCGGTACTCGGGCCAGTCGCTCGCCAAAGATTCTGCTGTACAGTAGGGGGAAGGATGCCAATGCCAAGGATCTTCTAGCGATCCTTCGCTTCAAAGTGCGCTTCGATGAAGCCTGCTTTGTGCCATGCCCCAGTTTCTTCGAGGGCGAAATCGTAGCCGAGGAGTTATCCGCGGCCATGGTCTGGGACGACAAGCAGGAGCTGCAGCGGGCAAAGAACAACGCCAGAGCCTGGTGTCGTCTCTGCGAGGAGATGGGAAAGAAGGACACCTCCCATCTTACCCTCTCGGTCAACTCATGCTTTGACCACGTCCGCACCAAGTATGGCCAGCAGAGTGAAGTCGATGTCTTGGTAACTGGCTCCCGACAGTTGGTGGCTGCAGCCATGACGACGCTCAACAAAATGAGGGGCTCTAAGGCTCCAAGCCACCACAGTTGATCCATTTAAATTTTGTAGTTTTTCTTCCAAATTTCGAAAGCCAAACGAATATGGAATGGAATCACCACCAAAAACTCCAGCTAGAGCAAGTACGATTTTAAATAAATCCCAAACAGAATAGTTTTTATCATAGACCAATGAAATTTACGCGATGCCAATCTGTGAGGGAGTCATGGCCTTTATCTCGTGGAGCTGTTGGTCTCACTAGAAAGCCCCATTGCGCCATTGCCCCATTGTCGGTCCCGAAACCCAGTTGAACACAGTTGTAGTTCGGAGAAACTCACACAGATTTTAATGGTAATATATTCGTGCTCAAAGGTCAGCCAGCAAGTCGCAGTGCAGATATGCAGTCCAGATATGGCTGTGCTGCGGCTGTCCTTGAAATCAATTAACAGACTGAAGGGCTTAACACTACAAAATCAAAGTCTATACGATTGAATATAGTCTATTGTTTTGTTCGATTCCAGTCAAACGTCTCTTCCACGGCTGGCATATGTTTCCTTTGGAATGCCAAGCCCCTTTTGATTATCTTTCAGTTTAGTGAACGTCTATTTGGCCATCAATCGTAAAAATAAAAAAAAATATATATCTTTCCATTGTGGTAGGTAGGAGTACACTATGCTACTACACATCGAATTAAATTGAAACAGTAATAGTTATATCTAAACTAAACGAGTGCGACTACACTTTCTTCTCTTGTGTATATACGTGGATGTGGATGTGTATACGGGTTTCGTGGTGTGGTCATCAGTTAATTCTTTCACTTCAGTGCCGCGTTCAGTGCGACGTTTGAAACGCGCCTTAAACTAAGTTAATCCAAAATGTAATGCAAAAATCAAAATAAACAAAATCATTTCCATTTGTAGCCACTTGGCAGCTACGATACTTGAAGTACGATAACGTAAAATAAAGCGTCCTAATACTTTCTTCTTAGCTTAATTGTTTAACTCTTTAATTTGTGTTAATCCGTGTGTTTGTGATGGCTCTCAAAGACTCAGTCTTGACATTCTCTGATGAAGGTGTATTCCGTTGGTTTGGTGGGTTTGGGAGGGGTTGTCCTGGGTAAGAAACGACAGGATATTATTTTGTTTGGCTCAAAAGTTCAGGATCAATGTTGGTTTCGGGACCGCAGCATCGGGAGGAAGACGCTCAAGCTGGATTGAAGGTGTGTCCATCATGGCCGTGGTGACTACAGACAGAGACGAATACGGCATCATCTCTGCCATTATAGCTTTCAAACGTTCGAAGGGCAAAACGGCCACACACATGGAATGCCCCTGCTGATGACATTCATCCGAGCAGATGTTCAAGGGATCGTTGAGCGGTATACCGGGCACAGGACGGACTACGGGGACCATGGGCACATCGGGATTGCCGACCAAGGCGCTCGTTGCGGTGAGCAGCTGGGTGACGAGCACCAATTTAAAGAGCTTTAGCTGATTTCCATTTTTGCTGATATCCATTACGGCGCGCATCATGAGGGCCGAGTTGGTCTGGCATTTGGGGATCAGCAGCAGCTCTTCCACCGTGGGACACTGGGCCAGCAGATCGCTAAAGTTCCCGTCCAAATCCACGTTGACCAGCTCGAGGCGACGGACGCCCCCGGCTTGGGCGAGTCCCCTCATGATCTCGTCGACTGGGAACAAAGTCTTCTTCCTTTGGTCCGTTTCTATGCGGAACATCTGCAATTTCGTGAGTGTCGGGAGCATCTCGTTGCCCAGCTGGAGCCGGTGCATGCTCTGGCAGTAGCCCAGAATCAGAGTCTCCAGATTGGGTAGATCCTTTAGAAACAGCAAGCTACCAAAATTCTTAACGCCGCGCAGGCTCAGGACGTGCAGGTGCGTCAGTTTGCCTACGAGGGGCAGACCGGTGATCGATGCCTTCGTATCGGTCATGCGAACGCGCAGCTCATACAGGTTTTCGATCTTGTCGATGTCGGTCATGTTGAGGCACGAGCTGACGCAAGTGCACATCAGCTTCTCAAGTTGAGGCAAGCTACGGAAGATCTGGTGCAGGAAGTCAGCTTTCGTATGATCGTATGATCGGTGCGCACCGAGCGCATATCCGTCAGCACGCGCATGTCCCCAGCGACGAGGGTACCGCTAGTGGGTATGATCGCGCCCATCATGTCGAGTTCGCGTGTGCCGTTGCGTGCCATCTCACGCACCAAAGCTGGCCAATTGTTGACCTTTGTGCCGCGAAGCGAAACTGATTTCCATACTTCAGCGTCACGGGAGCACAAGTGCCACAGCTTGGACACTTCCGAGCAATTGGCCCGATCCTGAAAGATACATTGATTCGATTCAGTTCGGTTCGGTTGGAGCCTGCCTTTCTTTAGATTCTTTCGGTAATTACCTGCTGGTTTAGTGTCTGCATTAGGCTGGTTAAGAACCGGCAATTGAAGCCGCTTCCAAACATCTGCTCCCACGGGTTATCGGGTGGCGACGATTGCTTGGGTGCAGCAATCCGTTTATCGTAGACTTCATAGTAACTAGTCAAGTCCGGCGGATTTGGGACAAGTCTGGTTTGGGGATAGGGCAAAAGCAAAAACAATGACAAAAATTGATTAGTGGACTGTTAAGGAAGAAAACGGGTATGCCAAGGCATCAACCACTAATCTAATCAGACCTCAAGGTCTCAAGGTTCCAAGTGCCTAAGTGCCCAAAGACTCACACTTTTTGTTGGCTTGTCATAGCCGGCTCTGCAACGGCGGAAATCGCCTTCTGACCGCTGATGACCACGACCTCTTGGTGCGTGTACAAATTAATTGGCGTTGAAGCTGGGGTTGTGTCTGTGCTGAGTAGCTCCGCCGGCGGCATCTCGCCAGGCGGCTCGAGCACTTTTATGTCGTTCAGCCCATTGCTAACAGTGCCCGCCTGGTAGCTCTTCTCGCTTTCCCCCTCGCCGTCCTGTAGCTCCCCATATGCAGCCATCAGGGGAACAGCATCCACACTCTCCGCCGACTGCACGCAGCTCTGCAATTATACAATCGTGCGATATATGTGACAGCACACACAAAATGTGAAACACAAACACTGACCTGGCAGACGCTTCCCTCGATTAGCTTTAGGCAGAATCCACAGGTCTCGCGCGTTTCCTGGCGCACTGGGGCGGCGCTACAGAGTAAAGGATTAGGGTCACAATTAACTCAGGAATGCACAGGGTAAGGGACATGCTTACCATGAACTGGCGGTTACGGTCGACGATGCAGCAGCTCTGGCGTTCCCATTTATGGCGGCGGCAAGGAGGCGCGCATTACCCTTGACGGCCATGGTGGCGGTCCAACCCTCAGGGACAGAGGTGGCGCCCTTCGGCAACTTCGGCTTAGGTACGCGTTTGCCCATTACAGGGGCTTCCACCACTTTGGCTGCCAGAGGTTTTATAGCTTCGAGTGCTAGTGGTTTCACAGGCTTGAGTGCCAGAAGTGTCATAGATTCGTCTGCCATCGACAGAAAATCGTCAATCGATTTGAGACGTTTGCCAAACGCCGCTGTGCCAGCTTCTGCCTGGGGCTTTGAATGGGACTCGGCTCCGATCGTCTGACGACGTTTCTGTTTAGCCTTTGTTTTGTCGGACGCCGTCGATTTGCGGCGCTCCTTTAAGGCGGCAAGGTGATCTTCACGACTCAAGGCCTGGCGGACCGTCTCGTACTGGGCTTCGGCACCCAGGATATGCGTCCCGAAGATAAAATGTTCTTTGGTGAGTTCCCCCTGCAGCATTGGTATAATTTCACTAATTTTTCGGCACTTCTTGCCGGAGGGCGATGTGTAGAATATGTGATTCGAGCTGTTGGTTAAGGGGCTTGGAGTTACCACCTCCCGCGTCCAGCCATATTTGAACGGCACGCGATAGAGCTCGTCGGAAATATTTGCCTTTGGCTTTTTGCCTGTCTCCGAGTAAACACTCTTGCGTCGATCGGTCGTCGCGGGTGCCATCACTTCCTCTGGATCGTCGTCATCCGCGCAGATGAGTCTTGGTGGTGGCCCACGATTCTTCTTCTTGTTTTTCGAAAGGTCGTCGTGATCCTTAGTTTTGATTGACGACCTTGGGCGTTTTCGTGAAAGTGGATTCGAGGAACCGGAGAGAGACACCGGAGACCAAAACCGAGGCACTTGAAAAACTTGAGGAAATACTTCATTGAAGTCTCAAGAATGGTTTTGATAAGAGCCAAAAATGATTTATACCTACAACCTAACCTACAAATTTCTTAAGACTAAGAAAAGATTTTCTGGGATCATTCAAAGATATTTAAATATTAAAGAGAGACTTTTATCACACACATAGGAGATAGTAATAAAGGAATCTATGGCATAAAAATAGCGAACAAAATGAACTTTTGCTGATTTTAATATATTTTCACAAACAAGTTTATATAATTGTATTAAAATATGTGTTCATTGGCTGTTTTTAATTGTTCTTACCTTGGTAGTGGTCCTTATATATGTAGATCCTATGTGTTTGTTTGCTGCTGTAAGGCTTTTTCAATTTCAGTATCCATCTAGTCCCCTTATTTGAAAACAGAAATACTTTATTCTACTCTACCATATCGTTTGATGTAATTCAATTTTCAAATTCAGAGGTAATCGAACACTCACAAAGAAATATACATCCCGTCAAATCAACTCAAAGACCAACAAATATAAAAACGATGTTCAAGAATCGTTTCACGGGTCTTATGACGCGGAAGGGCACGGCCACGGCCACGGCCACGGCCCATGCGAGAAACTACATCTTTCAGAAGAGTTTCAATGCACGCCAAGTGCTGATGGCCAAGGCTAAGGCGAATGGGGCACCACAGACAGAGACCTTGGAGCACCAGACCCCGAATCAAACGCAGCCGGAGAGTGCTTGTCCGGAAGTGAAGACAACAGGAAAAACTGCTGTGCCCTTGGCCGAGAATACACGCAAGACAGGTGAGACTTTCGTGTACGTTTTTTCTGCTCAGAATGGCAATGGTATATCCGGCTTCTCTTGCAGTTTCCCTCAAGACATTTACAACCGCCCCATCGGCCAGCTTTTCCGATCAGCGCGAAAGGTGGATGGCCAGCACCAAGGAGATTCAGCGCAAGGCCATGCTGGCAGCCAAAGAAGGTCCTACCAAGGCAGCAAGCAACAAATGGTCGACTCCCGGGCTATACGACTGGCAGCAGCAGCTGTCGCCGCAAAAGAAGCCAAATGTCGATAATGAGATCATCTCCCCAGCGGAAGGCCAACGGAAGTCTTGGACGAATCGCGTGCACGGCTCACAAATGCAGAAGCAGAAACAGACACGGTTCCTTGAGGAACCGAGTGGCAGGCAGCACGCCAGAAGAGATATGGAACAGAAGGGACATAGGATACAGCAGATAACCAGAATGGAGTCCAGAGCTTCGGCAGCAGCAGCCCCTGCAGAGCTCGAGGAACCGAAGAAGAAGTCGCCCGAGCGTTTGGCTTACCTGGAGGCCATCCAAAAGCTGAACAGTTACCACGCTTTCGACTCGGTGCCCGTGCGGATGGGCCGGCAGGGCTCCGATTGCCAGCCGGATCCGATGATAGAACATACCCTGGAGTGCTTGGAGAGGACGAAGCTGTCAAAAGCGCAGTTGGAAAGCATTCCCGTCATACAGATATCCGGATCGAAGGGCAGAGGAACCACATGTGGCCTCGTTCAGAACATCCTGCTCTCGCATGGTATCAAGACAGGGCTACTCTGCTCGCCCCATCTCTTCTTTTCCTGCGAGCGAATACGCATCGATGGGCAGCCCTTGAGTGAGGTTCAGTTCACGAAGCTCTTCTGGAAGATTCATGCCAGGCTGGCAAAAATGCAACCACCGCCAGCCTACGACCAACTCCTGACGGTGATGGCCTTCCATGCGTTCCGCCGGGCGAATGTGGATGTGGCCATTGTGAAGGTGGGCAGTGGAGGCGCCAGCGATTGCACCAACGTCACCTCGCATGCGGGAACAATCGGCATCAACACTCTGAGCCGGGATAAAAGGTCGGATCTGAGGCATACCATGCGGGACATTGCCTGGGCCAAGGCGGCAATCATGAAGCCCTCTGCCAGCATATACACGAATGTCAGCCAAGCAGAGTGCTGTGAGGCCCTAGCCCAGAGGGCCAGGGAGCTTGGCGTCCAGCTCCATCGAGTGCCCACATTCGAAGCCCTGATCGAGGCAAACCTCAACCAAAAGCACCTGCTCTCCAAGGCAAACCATTCCGTGAAGTTGAATGGCTCATTGGCCATCCAGCTGGCGTGCGACTATCTCAGGCGCCACAAGCCGGAGCTTGTGGTGGGATTGGACACAAATACAGTTAAATTGTCTCAACGTGCGGCCCGCGGGATTGGCAGCTTCCAGCCGGCGGGACATTTCGATGTGATCAGACAGGACAGCCTTAATGTCTATTTGGACACGGCTGATTCTGTCGAATCGATGATGGCATGTAGGGAGTGGTTCTATGCCGGTACTCGGGCCAGTCGCTCGCCAAAGATTCTGCTGTACAGTAGGGGGAAGGATGCCAATGCCAAGGATCTTCTAGCGATCCTTCGCTTCAAAGTGCGCTTCGATGAAGCCTGCTTTGTGCCATGCCCCAGTTTCTTCGAGGGCGAAATCGTAGCCGAGGAGTTATCCGCGGCCATGGTCTGGGACGACAAGCAGGAGCTGCAGCGGGCAAAGAACAACGCCAGAGCCTGGTGTCGTCTCTGCGAGGAGATGGGAAAGAAGGACACCTCCCATCTTACCCTCTCGGTCAACTCATGCTTTGACCACGTCCGCACCAAGTATGGCCAGCAGAGTGAAGTCGATGTCTTGGTAACTGGCTCCCGACAGTTGGTGGCTGCAGCCATGACGACGCTCAACAAAATGAGGGGCTCTAAGGCTCCAAGCCACCACAGTTGATCCATTTAAATTTTGTAGTTTTTCTTCCAAATTTCGAAAGCCAAACGAATATGGAATGGAATCACCACCAAAAACTCCAGCTAGAGCAAGTACGATTTTAAATAAATCCCAAACAGAATAGTTTTTATCATAGACCAATGAAATTTACGCGATGCCAATCTGTGAGGGAGTCATGGCCTTTATCTCGTGGAGCTGTTGGTCTCACTAGAAAGCCCCATTGCGCCATTGCCCCATTGTCGGTCCCGAAACCCAGTTGAACACAGTTGTAGTTCGGAGAAACTCACACAGATTTTAATGGTAATATATTCGTGCTCAAAGGTCAGCCAGCAAGTCGCAGTGCAGATATGCAGTCCAGATATGGCTGTGCTGCGGCTGTCCTTGAAATCAATTAACAGACTGAAGGGCTTAACACTACAAAATCAAAGTCTATACGATTGAATATAGTCTATTGTTTTGTTCGATTCCAGTCAAACGTCTCTTCCACGGCTGGCATATGTTTCCTTTGGAATGCCAAGCCCCTTTTGATTATCTTTCAGTTTAGTGAACGTCTATTTGGCCATCAATCGTAAAAATAAAAAAAAATATATATCTTTCCATTGTGGTAGGTAGGAGTACACTATGGTACTACACATCGAATTAAATTGAAACAGTAATAGTTATATCTAAACTAAACGAGTGCGACTACACTTTCTTCTCTTGTGTATATACGTGGATGTGTATACGGGTTTCGTGGTGTGGTCATCAGTTAATTCTTTCACTTCAGTGCCGCGTTCAGTGCGACGTTTGAAACGCGCCTTAAACTAAGTTAATCCAAAATGTAATGCAAAAATCAAAATAAACAAAATCATTTCCATTTGTAGCCACTTGGCAGCTACGATACTTGAAGTACGATAACGTAAAATAAAGCGTCCTAATACTTTCTTCTTAGCTTAATTGTTTAACTCTTTAATTTGTGTTAATCCGTGTGTTTGTGATGGCTCTCAAAGACTCAGTCTTGACATTCTCTGATGAAGGTGTATTCCGTTGGTTTGGTGGGTTTGGGAGGGGTTGTCCTGGGTAAGAAACGACAGGATATTATTTTGTTTGGCTCAAAAGTTCAGGATCAATGTTGGTTTCGGGACCGCAGCATCGGGAGGAAGACGCTCAAGCTGGATTGAAGGTGTGTCCATCATGGCCGTGGTGACTACAGACAGAGACGAATACGGCATCATCTCTGCCATTATAGCTTTCAAACGTTCGAAGGGCAAAACGGCCACACACATGGAATGCCCCTGCTGATGACATTCATCCGAGCAGATGTTCAAGGGATCGTTGAGCGGTATACCGGGCACAGGACGGACTACGGGGACCATGGGCACATCGGGATTGCCGACCAAGGCGCTCGTTGCGGTGAGCAGCTGGGTGACGAGCACCAATTTAAAGAGCTTTAGCTGATTTCCATTTTTGCTGATATCCATTACGGCGCGCATCATGAGGGCCGAGTTGGTCTGGCATTTGGGGATCAGCAGCAGCTCTTCCACCGTGGGACACTGGGCCAGCAGATCGCAAAAGTTCCCGTCCAAATCCACGTTGACCAGCTCGAGGCGACGGATGCCCCCGGCTTGGGCGAGTCCCCTCATGATCTCGTCGACTGGGAACAAAGTCTTCTTCCTTTGGTCCGTTTCTATGCGGAACATCTGCAATTTCGTGAGTGTCGGGAGCATCTCGTTGCCCAGCTGGAGCCGGTGCATGCTCTGGCAGTAGCCCAGAATCAGAGTCTCCAGATTGGGTAGATCCTTTAGAAACAGCAAGCTACCAAAATTCTTAACGCCGCGCAGGCTCAGGACGTGCAGGTGCGTCAGTTTGCCTACGAGGGGCAGACCGGTGATCGATGCCTTCGTATCGGTCATGCGAACGCGCAGCTCATACAGGTTTTCGATCTTGTCGATGTCGGTCATGTTGAGGCACGAGCTGACGCAAGTGCACATCAGCTTCTCAAGTTGAGGCAAGCTACGGAAGATCTGGTGCAGGAAGTCAGCTTTCGTATGATCGGTGCGCACCGAGCGCATATCCGTCAGCACGCGCATGTCCCCAGCGACGAGGGTACCGCTAGTGGGTATGATCGCGCCCATCATGTCGAGTTCGCGTGTGCCGTTGCGTGCCATCTCACGCACCAAAGCTGGCCAATTGTTGACCTTTGTGCCGCGAAGCGAAACTGATTTCCATACTTCAGCGTCACGGGAGCACAAGTGCCACAGCTTGGACACTTCCGAGCAATTGGCCCGATCCTGAAAGATACATTGATTCGATTCAGTTCGGTTCGGTTGGAGCCTGCCTTTCTTTAGATTCTTTCGGTAATTACCTGCTGGTTTAGTGTCTGCATTAGGCTGGTTAAGAACCGGCAATTGAAGCCGCTTCCAAACATCTGCTCCCACGGGTTATCGGGTGGCGACGATTGCTTGGGTGCAGCAATCCGTTTATCGTAGACTTCATAGTAACTAGTCAAGTCCGGCGGATTTGGGACAAGTCTGGTTTGGGGATAGGGCAAAAGCAAAAACAATGACAAAAATTGATTAGTGGACTGTTAAGGAAGAAAACGGGTATGCCAAGGCATCAACCACTAATCTAATCAGACCTCAAGGTCTCAAGGTTCCAAGTGCCTAAGTGCCCAAAGACTCACACTTTTTGTTGGCTTGTCATAGCCGGCTCTGCAACGGCGGAAATCGCCTTCTGACCGCTGATGACCACGACCTCTTGGTGCGTGTACAAATTAATTGGCGTTGAAGCTGGGGTTGTGTCTGTGCTGAGTAGCTCCGCCGGCGGCATCTCGCCAGGCGGCTCGAGCACTTTTATGTCGTCCAGCCCATTGCTAACAGTGCCCGCCTGGTAGCTCTTCTCGCTTTCCCCCTCGCCGTCCTGTAGCTCCCCATATGCAGCCATCAGGGGAACAGCATCCACACTCTCCGCCGACTGCACGCAGCTCTGCAATTATACAATCGTGCGATATATGTGACAGCACACACAAAATGTGAAACACAAACACTGACCTGGCAGACGCTTCCCTCGATTAGCTTTAGGCAGAATCCACAGGTCTCGCGCGTTTCCTGGCGCACTGGGGCGGCGCTACAGAGTAAAGGATTAGGGTCACAATTAACTCAGGAATGCACAGGGTAAGGGACATGCTTACCATGAACTGGCGGTTACGGTCGACGATGCAGCAGCTCTGGCGTTCCCATTTATGGCGGCGGCAAGGAGGCGCGCATTACCCTTGACGGCCATGGTGGCGGTCCAACCCTCAGGGACAGAGGTGGCGCCCTTCGGCAACTTCGGCTTAGGTACGCGTTTGCCCATTACAGGGGCTTCCACCACTTTGGCTGCCAGAGGTTTTATAGCTTCGAGTGCTAGTGGTTTCACAGGCTTGAGTGCCAGAAGTGTCATAGATTCGTCTGCCATCGACAGAAAATCGTCAATCGATTTGAGACGTTTGCCAAACGCCGCTGTGCCAGCTTCTGCCTGGGGCTTTGAATGGGACTCGGCTCCGATCGTCTGACGACGTTTCTGTTTAGCCTTTGTTTTGTCGGACGCCGTCGATTTGCGGCGCTCCTTTAAGGCGGCAAGGTGATCTTCACGACTCAAGGCCTGGCGGACCGTCTCGTACTGGGCTTCGGCACCCAGGATATGCGTCCCGAAGATAAAATGTTCTTTGGTGAGTTCCCCCTGCAGCATTGGTATAATTTCACTAATTTTTCGGCACTTCTTGCCGGAGGGCGATGTGTAGAATATGTGATTCGAGCTGTTGGTTAAGGGGCTTGGAGTTACCACCTCCCGCGTCCAGCCATATTTGAACGGCACGCGATAGAGCTCGTCGGAAATATTTGCCTTTGGCTTTTTGCCTGTCTCCGAGTAAACACTCTTGCGTCGATCGGTCGTCGCGGGTGCCATCACTTCCTCTGGATCGTCGTCATCCGCGCAGATGAGTCTTGGTGGTGGCCCACGATTCTTCTTCTTGTTTTTCGAAAGGTCGTCGTGATCCTTAGTTTTGATTGACGACCTTGGGCGTTTTCGTGAAAGTGGATTCGAGGAACCGGAGAGAGACACCGGAGACCAAAACCGAGGCACTTGAAAAACTTGAGGAAATACTTCATTGAAGTCTCAAGAATGGTTTTGATAAGAGCCAAAAATGATTTATACCTACAACCTAACCTACAAATTTCTTAAGACTAAGAAAAGATTTTCTGGGATCATTCAAAGATATTTAAATATTAAAGAGAGACTTTTATCACACACATAGGAGATAGTAATAAAGGAATCTATGGCATAAAAATAACGAATAAAATGAACTTTTGCTGATTTTAATATATTTTCACAAACAAGTTTATATAATTGTATTAAAATATGTGTTCATTGGCTGTTTTTAATTGTTCTTACCTTGGTAGTGGTCCTTATATATGTAGATCCTATGTGTTTGTTTGCTGCTGTAAGGCTTTTTCAATTTCAGTATCCATCTAGTCCCCTTATTTGAAAACAGAAATACTTTATTCTACTCTACCATATCGTTTGATGTAATTCAATTTTCAAATTCAGAGGTAATCGAACACTCACAAAGAAATATACATCCCGTCAAATCAACTCAAAGACCAACAAATATAAAAACGATGTTAAAGAATCGTTTCACGGGTCTTATGACGCGGAAGGGCACGGCCACGGCCACGGCCACGGCCACGGCCACGGCCCATGCGAGAAACTACATCTTTCAGAAGAGTTTCAATGCACGCCAAGTGCTGATGGCCAAGGCTAAGGCGAATGGGGCACCACAGACAGAGACCTTGGAGCACCAGACCCCGAATCAAACGCAGCCGGAGAGTGCTTGTCCGGAAGTGAAGACAACAGGAACAACTGCTGTGCCCTTGGCCGAGAATACACGCAAGACAGGTGAGACTTTCGTGTACGTTTTTTCTGCTCAGAATGGCAATGGTATATCCGGCTTCTCTTGCAGTTTCCCTCAAGACATTTACAACCGCCCCATCGGCCAGCTTTTCCGATCAGCGCGAAAGGTGGATGGCCAGGACCAAGGAGATTCAGCGCAAGGCCATGCTGGCAGCCAAAGAAGGTCCTACCAAGGCAGCAAGCAACAAATGGTCGACTCCCGGGCTATACGACTGGCAGCAGCAGCTGTCGCCGCAAAAGAAGCCAAATGTCGATAATGAGATCATCTCCCCAGCGGAAGGCCAACGGAAGTCTTGGACGAATCGCGTGCACGGCTCACAAATGCAGAAGCAGAAACAGACACGGTTCCTTGAGGAACCGAGTGGCAGGCAGCACGCCAGAAGAGATATGGAACAGAAGGGACATAGGATACAGCAGATAACCAGAATGGAGTCCAGAGCTTCGGCAGCAGCAGCCCCTGCAGAGCTCGAGGAACCGAAGAAGAAGTCGCCCGAGCGTTTGGCTTACCTGGAGGCCATCCAAAAGCTGAACAGTTACCACGCTTTCGACTCGGTGCCCGTGCGGATGGGCCGGCAGGGCTCCGATTGCCAGCCGGATCCGATGATAGAACATACCCTGGAGTGCTTGGAGAGGACGAAGCTGTCAAAAGCGCAGTTGGAAAGCATTCCCGTCATACAGATATCCGGATCGAAGGGCAGAGGAAACCACATGTGGCCTCGTTCAGAACATCCTGCTCTCGCATGGTATCAAGACAGGGCTACTCTGCTCGCCCCATCTCTTCTTTTCCTGCGAGCGAATACGCATCGATGGGCAGCCCTTGAGTGAGGTTCAGTCACGAAGCTCTTCTGGAAGATTCATGCCAGGCTGGCAAAAATGCAACCACCGCCAGCCTACGACCAACTCCTGACGGTGATGGCCTTCCATGCGTTCCGCCGGGCGAATGTGGATGTGGCCATTGTGAAGGTGGGCAGTGGAGGCGCCAGCGATTGCACCACGTCACCTCGCATGCGGGAACAATCGGCATCAACACTCTGAGCCGGGATAAAA